CGGGAAGGCCTGTCCTGGTGGCTGCTTTTACCTCCCTCCACCCAGAGGCCACAGGAAGCTGGACCCTACCTCCACCAGGAGGCCTCCATCTCAAGTTCTGCCTCTCCTCCTTCTCCTTCAGGAGTAGGATGATCACAGCTACTCATGCCTCCTTAGGACAGCACCCCATGCCCCCATTCCTAAGGGGTTCAACAATGAGGCTTTCATGGTAGACAGGTTCTGGAGACTTTTGCTATCGTCATCCAAACAGGTAAGACATTATCTCCTTATCTGCAGTTTCACTTTCCAAGTTTTCAAATGACTAAAACATTAAATGGAAAATTCCAGAAGTAAACAATTCATCAGTTTTAAATTGCATGCCATTCTGAGCAACATGATACAACCTGTCCTACTCCATTCTGTCCAAGAAGTGAATCATCTCTTGGTCCACTGTATCCATACTGTATATGCTACTGACCTGTTAGACATATAGCAGTCATCTCAATTATGAGATCTAATGGTATTGTGGTGCTTGTGTTCAATTAATCTTTCTTGTACTTTCTATTATAATTGTTCTATTTATTATAATACAGCAATTGTCCTATTTTTTGTTGCTTATTATTGTTATCTTTGTGCCTAATTTATAAATTAAACTTCATCAGAGACATGCATGTCTAGGAAAAAACATAGTATATATAGGGTTTGAACTATCCATGTTTTAGGCACTCACTGGGGAGCTTAGAACATATCCCCTGAGGTCAAGGGGGACTACTGCATTAACAGCCAGTACTCCTCTGCTGCACAACAGTGGAGAAACCCAACTCACTCAAATGAGCCTAAGTGGAAGCTCATCCCGTGTGTCCTAAAGATTCTAGACTGACTTAGAAAACTGGAGCAGGAACACAGCTAGTCAAGCCCATCTGAAGTAGGATAGAAAAAAAAAAAATAAAAGGTAGAGACAAAAGGAAGAATAAGAAAATATAAGCTTAATTTAAAAGCTTTGTTCTAAAGCTCCTCATACCCTCACTTCCCAACCCAGTTCTCTCTCTCAGGCCTATCACTACCAAATTTTTGGGAAATCTGTAAATCTTAAGAATTAACATAAATTCACCCACTTAAAAAAGTTAACTTGTGCACTCTTAATCAGCCCACATAATAATTAAGCAAAGAGAGATGCACTATTTTAAGAAACCTGTAATACAGGGTACTTCCCAATATTATCTACTGATCAAATAATGGAGACCACCTAGGCCTAAAGATCCTGAGAATGACCAGACCTCCATAAACTTATGTCAACCTTCTATACCTTCCATGTCCACTCATCAAGTTTCCTTTAAAAGAGCCCAAGAACTCTAAAGTGTCTCTCACTCCTGAGATAGCCCATGTTCTCCCTTGAACATGTATTCCTTGCTTTCTTAAACCTATATGCCTCTAACTTGTCCTTAAACTAATTTCTCTGATGTCTGTCGAGAACCCCACTCACTCTGAGTTGAGGTCCCCCTGTACAGGAAATTCCTTGGTCCTCCTCAGGTTGCACATGAACTCCAAAGCCAAGAGACAGGCAGCCCTCCTCAGCTCCCCTCTGCTTATCCGTATCAGTCTCCTCACTCACAGATGAGCCAGTCTACGTAGTGGGAAGTAAGGCAGCCCCCAACTTTAAACTCCCCAGTGTCGTGTAAGCCCCCAGAGAGGCTGACTGAGTGGCTCCTCTCCTAGCCTTCTCCAGGGAAAGTAATCGAAGGGCTCAGCTCAAGCCAGGTACCCATGGCTGGAGGGCTGGGGTCCTACTGTAGCACCAGACCTCCCACACTACTTAAGAGTTTGGGTGAAGGAGAGTTCCTACAAAGAGATTGGGGGAATATAGACAGAATCACCTCAGTCCATCTCAACTTTTAGTAGTAGCCAATCGAGACTTACTTACAGCAAGTGTTTCTTAAGATTGCAAAGAGAAAAATGAAAGAAATCCCAGTGTTAAGTAGAAGTTTTTTATACTGTTTAAAATACATTTACATAAACACAGAATTAGGAATAAACTCTTCTTTTTTAGAGCTCTTAAACTGCTAAAAGAGACTTATAAATTAATGGCAAGCAAAACCCCAACATAAATGAACTCAGGTTTATATTACTTTAATGTGGCACAGGGGGCTGCTGCATGGGAACCACTGCAGGATCACAGCTTAACTGACTCCAGTTAAGTTAATCAATGTTATACCCCTACTTCACCCCTGCCCTGCATGAGGCCACCCAGAAGCTATCTGGTTAAAACAACTGTGGCTAGCCACTTCCTGAGAGCTGTCAAGCAGGAAGAGGAGCAGGATACAGCTCTACCCTCCCTGGACTATGAACAGGGAGTCAAAGAATCCAAGGTGGTGGATACTTCAGCAAGTCACTTTTCATCTTTTAAATCAAAGAAATTACAGAACAAAATATGGCACAATTCTGAAAAAAACACTGGTCCTCTCTCCTTGACACCTGCCCCATCCAGGGGAGGGCTTCTGGAGGTGCCAAACTCAAGGTGGTGCCCACCCTCCTCAAGCCTGGGAAGAGCAGCCATCATTTGCCTTCAGTCTGTTTACAGCATCATACTCCTCCAGGGCTTATCGATGTCTGCTGCTGGTATATGCCAAGGGTCAAATTTCTCCATGTTTCCAACCCATGGGAGACCAAGAGGTATCAAGCCTGCAATGCCTCTGGCTGCTTGCCTGCCTTCCTCTGGCCTCGGTGGGCAGATACACCCTGCCCAGAGACTCCTTGGGTAGTAATCCTCACTGGGGAGGAAGTGTATGTGTGAGCACCATGACACATCCTGCAGATGTCTTCCATGTCTCTTGACGCATTGGTTCTCTTACTGCAGGGCAGGGCAATGAGGATGGAGATTCTTGAGTTAACACCTGGCAGCCAGGTACACTGGGGTAGAGGAGCTCCCTCAAGGTCACAGCTGCGGAGAGAAGTCAGGACCTAAAAACTGGCCTTACTAGTCCAGTCCTCTTTCTCATATGCAAAACAGAGCACAGAGCACATTAATTCAAGTTACAACCAAAAGCTTATAAAAGATGCAATCATTTTCACTTCTGGAGGTTTTTTTTTTTTAAATTTCACAAACATTTAGTATTTTTTCATAGTGAATATTTTGCAAAAAAGGGGGGAGGTGGTTCTCTCCAAAATTTCAATATGGCTCTTTACCTCTTATACTAATATTAAAACACTATCTGCTATAAAATAATATGAGTTAATAGAATAGAGGAACTATGCTAATTTTTAAACAATTATTTCAACATAAAAGAATAAAACATAATAAAGAGCATATGTTGCTTGGTGCTAATGACATAACATTTTTTAATCATATAGATGAAGCAAAACATACAACATGAACCAGATATTGAAATGGTTTAGAACTAGTCTAAAGACAAATATTTCAGAAAATATGTAGAAATGTAACCACAGATTTGTTATAGGGAGTTAATGCACTTTTTTGGTTTCTCGAAATGAAAATGCGTTCTGATATTAATAATATATATTCTAAAAATTATACAGGAGAAGCAGTTTTCATGTTTTAGTTTTTAAATCAAACTTTTGTCTTTACCACATACAGGATTTTGGGAAACTTAAACTCTCTGAGTGTCAGAATAATAATTTTTAGAATGGGTACAGTAACATCTTAAAGAATTATCATGTTGTTTAGATAATACCTGTAAAGTACTTTCCCTGGCATCTGACACATACTAAGTACTCAATAAAGAGTGGTGAGTACTTTTTCTATTACTAGTACTATTTTTCATTATTTACTACTAATAATCACCCTTCAAATCTAAAAATAAAACAGCTTTAGAAGAATTGAGTATGACTGTAGTCAAAGAATAAAATATTGGATTTCAGAGGTGTTACAGATGATATCCAGACTGTAATCATGGGAGTTTATGGCTACAGTGAAGTAAAGGTAGAGGTCATTGTCAGGAGTTGAGGTTGAGAAACTGTGAGGTGGTCAGAGTTGTTCACCCACATGATGGTTACTTCTTTCTCAGAATAAGGATAAGAGATGAGGTGGAGAAGAAGATTCAGTTGCGAAAGCCTCACTGGATGTAGGAGAATAACTTGGAAGATGATAACATGCCCCATTTGAAGCCTTCCCAGGAACTCCATCCCCCCTTTTGTCCAGCTCAGGCTAGAATACATCTACCTGGTTCTAACCTACTTTTCCATGCAATAAAGAAATCAGAAAGGGCACAAAGAAAACTGTACTACCATTTCCCAGCAGCACCTCAAAAACAAGTCTTGGGTGCTTGCTAATAACTGCAATCCACAGTAGATTAATGAGGAGGTTAACGTGCTTTTTGACCCCACACTTTGTAATATGGAGAACAGATAAAAATATGGATTCAAATAAATACACGGATATTGACATCATTGAAGCAGCATGACATAAAATAATATTTATACACACAACATTCCTCTGCAAATAGCAAATGTAAAATAAAAGATACTAGCAGATAATTTTGTTTATCTCATGTACCACACAGAGAAGCAGTACTCCTAGCTGTCTCACTAGATGGTATCTCCCTTGGGTTACTTATTAAGACCCTATTTTAACTCAAATTTGAGCTAACCAACTCCCTCACTACAATCTGGCTTTTCCTTTTGGGGTATGTGAGCACACGAGTGCGAGCATGCACATGCATATGTGGTGCCAAGGATGGAACCCAGGACCTCACACATGCCTAGCATGCACTCTATGACTGAGCAGTATCCCCAGCCCTGTGGCATCTCCTTCTTTAAGTATAAAGTCTAATATAGTATGGCTCACCTACAGCTCCAATATTTGAAGTAAAGAGAGCTTTATGCAGATTTTGGCTTTCAATGGAACTCTGCTGACAGTACAAAGATTCAAATCATGGCCATTCCTAAGAACCATTCTAAGACCAGAGACAGAGTTACTTAAAAGGATATGACTTGTTGTAATTTTAAATATAATCCATGCTACTTTTCTCTATGACACAACATAATATTTTTTCCAAAAGTCTTTCAATATTCTATTAACTGGAAAAGGAATAAAAAGTCATTTTATAAAATAGAGACACTCAAGCACTGATCTATTCATAAAGTTCTTACACAGCTGAAGAAGTTTACATCAAATGGACAAAAATTAGTACAGAAAACCTACATAAAGACTTAGAAACATCCACCTCTTAGAAAGCAGGTCAAATGGACTCAAAGACCTCGCTGAATACAAGAAAGTCAATGGGAAATAAAGTAATGCCTTCTCCTGGGAATAAACAGAAACCAGTCCATATAATCAAGAAGTTATTTTTCTTCTTGATCTAAATGCTTGCCTCCATCTGGGCTCAGAGAAAAGCTTTGGTCATTTGAACTGGTTGTCAATCAAGGTCCCCTTCATTTTAGCTTTCTTGGCTTCTAGTTCAGCCAGCTCTTGCAGTCGCCTCTTGCTCATGCCTTTGCGTTCCAGCTGTTTTTCAATCACTTTGGCATTCTGTGCATAGGAGTCAGCAACTTCCCTAGCCTCAATCTCCTCTTCCTCTTCATCAATGGTAGACACGGTGACAGAGCTGAACTTGCCCATGTCTTTGGTCCGTTTGGTCATCATCACCTTCTTTGGAGGCTCTTGTTTCTGAGTATATATATTTGTTTTCCCAAAACCCTGACCAAATTTCACTACTGCTCCATCCACGATGAAGGTCACAGGGGCATTCTTCGGCTGGGACTGGTAGAAGAGCGGTAGTCCACACTTGGCACACTTCTTCCTGTATTGTCGTTCAATGCCTTCAGGCCTCCGAAGATACACAGTCTCCTCATCTTCTGTATTACAAAATTTGTGAGCATGTTTAGCAGCATCAATCACACGGGATCGGTCGCGAGGCCTCATGGGCAACTTCTCTAACTGACAATCCAGCACCAGGACCATCTGGCCACACAAACAGTAGTAGACGTGGAGGGGCTTCTCACCATCATTATATTCCTCGCGATCCCGGGTATCGGAGCAGACAACCGACCGAGACACTACTTTAGGCATAGTCGAGGTTTTCGTTTATTAAGCACGTTCACATCTATTATTTTTGTCTTATATTATTTATTGGACTATAATTTTCTTCCTTCCATCCCTTTCAGGAACCCCTGGAAGGAAACAGTTCAGATTCAAAACACACTAAATGGTATTTCCCTCTCTTTCCCCGCCCATCATCTTTACAAGTGTCCCCTGTGGTCGCTCAGGCTCTGACCCGATCTCCAGCCTTCATATTAAGCAACACAGATACCAAGAGGAAATGGATCTTCCTGGAGAAGGCAAGAACACTTCAGGATGGGAGCAGCTTCTTTGTATTCTTCATGATTGATTTCCATTTCTTGGGCTGAAACTAAGCTCCTTGAAAACAAAGTCAATGTTTTTGTTCAAAATATTTCAACTAAAATTATTAAAAAAACAAAACTTTTTGAACAGGATTGAGATAAGCCTAGCCAACAATACCAACTTATAGTAAAGTGAAAAGGCAAAAAGAGGAGCCAACACTTAGGTAAGTATTGCACAGAAACAAGATATTTCAGTGGGAAAACAGGATGGGCAATGCACCCCCCCACACACCATGAATCAGCAAGCTGCAACTTAAGACAGGGCTTCTACGGTGACAAGCTGGCTCTATGAGCAGGGGCTTCTGTTATTTTTGTACAAGTACTTGCAATTTCCTTCTCTTATGGTTCCCAACAGGTTCCATTCATTTACTGGAAAACATTCTGGTTTGACAAGTGATGATGTATCAAGGTGTTTTGAGAAACAGTCACCATGCTGACCTCAATTCACACTGGTGACACATATTCTACAGTTCAAGAATGAAGCCTACATCCCATTCTTCTTACAAAAACTTCAATGGTCAAGAAGTTTAACAAGGGAAGCACCACAGAGAGTAAACCAGCTCAACACAAGGGCAGTGCAGGCCACATAAAAATGGCAGGCCAGTGGGGGCCTTGCCCAAGGTCAGCCTGCTCATGAGATACAACCATTCCAAAGCCTTTACTAGTACTTAACAGCAAAGTGCACTCTTGACATAGGAGATAAGCTCTCACTAGCTCCCAGAGGGGCTAGTCAGATGCTTGGACCCTAAATGTCCCAAGGGCCCATAACACTGGTCACCAGTGGGTGGCACTATAGGGAAGTGGTGGAACTCTCAGGAGATGGGGCATAGAAGGAAGTTAAATGGTCAGGGGCACACTCTTGAAAGGGACATTAGAAGCCTGACTCCTTCCTGTCTATCTTCCTTCCCAGCTGTCATGTGGTGACCAGGTTTTCTCTACTCCATGCTCCCACTACCAGGTGCTGCCTTACTACAGGCTCAAAAAACAGTAGGGTTGAGTAAACATGAACTGAAACTTAGGAAACCATGAGCCAAGATAAATCTTTCCTTCTTTTAAGTTATTCATTTCAGGTCCTTTGTCACAGAGACAGAAAGCTGACTAACCCACTGACTTGGTACTACTCAAGACCTTTAAGAATGGGAAGCTCCACATTCTAATTTATACTGAAAGCAAAGCCAGGTTTCAGTTTTATTTACTGGAAAGCAAATTACTAATTCAAGACTTGAAATCCAGGCAACCTTCAAAACTCCCTGCTAATGGAGCTTCAGGAAAACAAAGGGAGGATACTTATCTGAAGATGTCTTAGGCCTATTTGCAAACACTGGTGTCTGCAATGCATAACAGTGTGCAGAATTCCAGCTCCAGCCAAACCCCTTGTTCCTGCTGATCCCTCTGCCATTCTCACCCTGGCACCTTCAGCAGGATAGCACGTGAGCCCGTGAGGCACTGGCAGATTCACTCTATATACATTATTTCTTCCTAGATCACCACTGAAAGAGCAGAACAAATAATAATTTGAAAGTTCCTGTGTTTCAGGTGCCTTGAGTTGGGTAAGTCTGATTTATTTTTATCACCACTAAGAAAGCTTATTTTCTAATTCACAAATGTAGAAGTTGGCTTCAAGAGAAAACATATTTTCTAAGTAGCAACAAAATTCCTTAAAGGGCTCCAAATGCAAAGCAACAACCACAGATCAATGAAATGCCAGGAAGACAAAGTTATTTTTGAATCAAGGCAGGAAGCCAGGAGACTAGGAACGACCTGCCCAAGGCCTCCCAGTGGGCACCACCAGCCAATTCTGTTTCTAGCTTCCTCACCAGCAAATCAACATCAAGGAGAGATGTCTTGGTCTTCTAAGTACCTCGGAAATACTGAATCACACATTCTGCATGCTTAACTATATGTAGCTCTCTAGTGAAGTGGTATATTATCTACATGCTTTAACTGTAAAAATGGAAACCGTTTTAATCATTTATTGATGGGTGGAACACTTTACTAAGGTAAAGTGTTCAAAGAACTTCAGTGCTCCATATTCTTATAAAAAAAGAAAAAGGAGTCAGAGGAGGAGGAGGGGGAAGGAGAACAAACCTCTTGCTCACTTGATCCAAACCGGAAGGATCCTGCCTAATCTACAAGGATTGCAATGAGCATCATTCCTTACCAGCTGAGCAAAGAGTGACCTGTGCTCAGGCCTGGTAAGGCTGGGTCAAGATGCACCTGCTGAAGAACAGACAGGCAACAATTACAACCATCACACAAAGGGAAACTCCCTTAGCCCGGCAGGTCTGCAAGGGTTCCAAAGATCAGTCTGACACCAGCACAACGAAACCTAAAGTCAAGCCATGCTCACCAGCTCTGAAGGATGCATTGGTTCTGCAGATATAAAAAATAAAACTCAAACAACAAAAGAAACTAAAACCACCTGATAACTCAAAAACCCAAGAAATTTCCAGTCCATTAGCAAAAACCTTATACCAGGGCCATATTTTGTCTTGGAGCTAGACTTTCCAAATTACCTCTCCCATGCAGTACAAAAGTGAGATTGTTCCAAAAAGCTGCTAGAACTAGTTTCCCTTTCTTTCACTGTGGCCTTATTCCAGAAAGATTCCTAAGCTGGTTATGTTTCTGAAGAGAATGCGAATGGGTTGGGATATCTGTGTAATCCTAAGAAAAGTGTCAAGAGGTACTTTAGCCATTACTTCTTTTTTCTCAAATATTTGCAGCTGAATTCTGAAATAAAGAGAATGCAATGAGAACAAAGGCCCCCACAAAGTTTCTCCCTGCCACATAGCACATGTAATGCTACTACCACCGAGACAGTGAAAGCTAATTAAAAGCTCTACTTAGGCTTTTTACATTTTATTGTAAATATTCTTGGCAGTTGGGTAGTAAAGGGAACAAAGAAAATATGTTTTCAAAATTCAATTTTCAGATTGTTGCCATCTCTCATTAGAAGAAACCTGCAGAAAAACTAAAAGCTGGAAACCGGCATGAAGCAGGTACATCCTCCGAACCCCTTAAGCCTCCCCTTACCAGCCCACTTCAGGCCCAGCCTCCTTAACACAGGCCAGGACACTGACAGTGCAGCCAGGCAGGGTGGACCTCTGCAGGTGGAATGAGCTCTCTCATCTGGAGAACACAGGTGTCACCTAACACCCTAGACTATGATCTGGCCCTATAAGTGGAGCTCAGTGAGAACTAGGCTCTTGGAGAGAACTGCCTACTCACTGGGCAAGGTGAACACATTCACAACATTCCAGAACGCTGGATGGGGAGGCAGTGGGCACGCTGCATGAAGATGACTGAGGTCGTAAATTAGCCTGAGCTACTGTACACATAGCCAAGGATCCTAACAGCCGTGCAGTTGAAAACCAACAGCACACTCAGTACAGCCGCATAGGGCACATCTACCTACTATCAGTGAGAGGCAGAGAAATGCAATGGACACAAATGACACAAAGTCAGAACACCTAGGCTCTTGGCCTGGTTCAGGTCTTCATTTAGCCATTCAGTCTCAGGCAAATCACCCTCTGGGCACCTCATTGCACCACCTGCCACCCCTCATCCCCATGCCATCCCCACCCACCCAAACTACTGTGCTACACTGGCAAAGTACCCAAAATGATATAAATTATGCTCACTCTATTTTGTCATTTGCTCCTTACAACAAAGCCTGGCCACCACAGAAAATCATTATTCCCAGTCTGAGTGAGGACATTCTGTGCACAACCAACAAGGCTGAGACAAGAAGTTGTCATCTCCCAAAGTTGGCACGGACCCTACAGTACTTTCTGAACTGCAGGCACCCAGGGGGCCATTGCTTCTACCATGACATACTATGGCTCATGAGTTTTTCTTCAAATAAATTTTTAACAAATGTGCTACATGAACTATTTTGATAGCTAAATATTTACTTAACTATTCAAATCTAAAGCTTGCTGCTCTCCTACCAGGGGCAGTGACAAAGATTCTCTGTTGGCCAAACTTTGGATCCTGAACATTCTTCTAGGCCCATCTGTGCACTACCTAATAAGAATCCAGGTTTAGCCAAGAGCCCTGCTTAGGTAGTTTAGCAAGGACCTCCCACCCAGGTTTCTGATCATCATCCATAGCTGATCAAGATCATCATCGCTGACCAAGATCATCATCCCTTACCACCACCACTACTCTAGTACATGACTAGTAACTCTGGCCTATCCTTAGTAAAAAAACTGGTTAGACCAGTTTAGTCAGAATCCCCCTGACCCCTGATGTTCTCTCTAAGTAATTTTCCATCCACTGATCCCCACCCTACTCTTTGGCTATATGTTTCTACTTGCCCTCTGTAATTGAAACTGCGCCTAATCTCTCTCCCGAATGCAAGACCCTGTTGTGTCTCTGAACACATTGAGGTAGTCCTTTAAAAAACTGTCCTTACCATGCTTTAACAAGCATCACTGAATGGTTTTTTAATAGCAGACCTGCCCTTTAGGAAACACTGGACCAAGAGAGGGCTCATGGAGCCAGTGTGCCATCTCCATCTTCATCCCCAACCCTCAACCAACTGTCTGACTGTTGGAAAGCCTGACTCTGAATCCAGGGCCACTGCCATAAAGTGGGAAAAATAGTCCTACCTACAAGGTTTGCTGGGAGAGGGATGTAGTTCAGTGGTAGAGCGCTTGCCTTAAA